AAACCACAGCTAAGAATTATAATGAAATGTGCAAAAATCTGGAATTAGAAAACCAAAAGTGAAAAATATGCTTATCATTTCTCAAGCTGAAAGACTGCAGAACAAATTGATGGCTTCAGCTGCAGTATTGAAGGATTCTATGAGCAAATAATTGAAAGACACTGCAAGCAACAAAAGAGGACGGAAGAAATACACAAAGCATTTTACTCAATGTTCAATCATTTCAGGAGGTATCATGTGATTAAGAACGTACGGTACAGAAGAAAGAAATTCAACCTGCACTGTAAGTATTGGTGAAAAACAAGGCTTCAGGAATTGATAGAATATCAACTTAGATGTTTCAGCAAATAGATGCAACATTGCGAGAACTTATTCATCTATGTCAAGACATTGGGAAGATAGCTCCCTGGCCAACTGACTGGAAAAGATCCATATTTGTGCCCATTTCAAAGGAAGGTGATCCAAAACAATACATAAATTGTTGAATAATATCATTAATACCAAACACAAGTAAAATTATCCTGAAGATAATTCATAAACAGTTGCAACAGTACATCAGCAGGGAACTAACAGAAATTAAAGTCAGATTCAGAAGAGGGTGTGGAATGAGGGATATCATTGATGATGTCAGATGGATCTCGTCTGAAAGCAGATAATAAAAGAAAGATGTTTACCTGAGATTTATACAAAACATTCAACTGTGTGGATCATAATAAATTATGGATAAATTGCAAATAACTAGAATTCTACAACACTTTATTGCTCTCCTATAGAACCTGTACATACACTTAGAGGCATTCATTGAGAGAGAACAAGAGATTACTGCAAGGCTTAAACTCAGGAAAGTTGTGAGTCAGGGTTGCATCTTTTCAACAGTTATACTATCTATATGCTGAGCATAAACTTAAATAAAAGTATGTTGAAAAATAAATAAAAAAATATCTGAAATAATTGTCAAAGGTGTTACTTTTAATTTGTAATATTTTGAATATCATATTTTCCCCTACAGTTATCTGCATTTTGTAAAATAACTACAATATGTATACATTATTTTTATTTATAGATATTTATATCAAAATAAAAGTTGAATTAAAATATTATTCAAAATTGTCATTGTAGATGTAGAGAGAATCCATGAGAATAGATGAATTTCCAAAAGGGGTAGATTGTTGGTATAAGAGGAGCTCTGGTGGCATAGTGCCTAGGGCATTTGACTGCTAACCAGAAAGCTGGCGGTTCAACCCACCAGCCACTACTTGGAAGGAAGATGGGGCAACCTACTTCCCTAGTGATACTGCCTTGGAAACCCAAGGAGAGGTCGCCATGAGTCAGAAACAACTTGAGAGCAGTGAGTTTGGTTTGGTTTTCGTTGGTATAAAAGCAAAGTGTGCCTGTCCAAGAAGAAGGTATCTAGAGTGACAGGAAATGAGGGGTTCCTGTGAACTCCATCAGGAATACTAAATGAGGTTGTAGGAGGAACTGATTTGCTGCCATTTAACCCAAGGCACAGAAGACATCTAGGAGAAAAAGAGAAGTAACTTTGTCAAACTTAAAGCAAAATTGAGTGGGCGGAAGGAGTGGGCTGAAGTAAACATGACTTTCTTTTAGAGTAGCCTTGGTTTCCCTACAATCAAAGCCTGAGAAAATGCCTACAGCCAAGGAGTTTATTTGGGAAGTGTCCAAGGGGGCAGGAATGTGGGGCAGGGAAAATAAAGCTGGCAAAGAAAGAGCCAGTGTAAAGATGAGTGGTCTTGATGGCCAGGCTCATGGGGACTGACACCTCTTCTGAAAGACCTTCAGAGGAACTGGATGAAACTCATCTCAGAAGGCCTGTCAAAGAGGGGAAGGATTTATCTATCAGATCAAGTGTGACTCAGTGGGCTCTGACTTCTGCACACTTCTGGGCTGCACTTCTTCAGGTTTGCTATGGGGACCTACACCATTCCATGCTGTTGTCAGACAAGACCCAAGAACATCATCATCAGTTTTTCTGAGCACATGGGCTGTAAGGATCTGCATGGAACTTGTTAAGCTGCTGGGCCTAGAGTAAGATGTGGGACCATTTGAACCTGAGATAAAACACAGGAAGTGTTCCACCCACTTTTCCAACAACTTATTGTGGGACACACAAAATTTCAAAATGTGGGTCTAAATGGAGCTCTGGAGGCACTGTGGTTAAAGCATTCTTCTGCTAACCAAAAGGGTCACTGGTTCAAACCCATTGGCCACTTCATGGGAGAAAGGTGAAGAAGTTTGCTTTCATAAAGACTTATAGCCTTGGAAAATTTATGGGGAAGTTCTACTCTGTCCTATCAGGTTGTTATGAATTGGAATCAACTCCATAGGTAAGTTTGGGTTTGTTAAGGATTCTTTCATATTTTCCATTTTGCCTCTGCTCAGACCTTATTCCCAACTGGTTCCTTAGAATTTACAACAGTATAAGGTACATGTTTTATGATCTAGCAACTAAATAAAAATGGATCACTGATTTGTGATGAAAATCCATAGATATAAGGAATTATAAACTTTGAAAAAGTCATCACTAGATCAATAACCAACATCATGAAAAATGAAGTTGTCAAGGATTTCATTTTACTTGGATCCATGATAGCCTAGGAAGCAGCAATCAAGAAATCAAACAACATACTGCGTTTGGGCCAATCTGCTGCAAAAGACCTCTTTAAAGTGTTAAAATGTTAACTAATATATGTCTGACTCAGGCCATGGTATTTCCAATCATCATATATGCATGTGAAAATTGGACAATGAAAAATGAAGACCGCAAAAAAATTGATGTATTTGAATTACGGAGTTGGTGAAGAATACTGAATGCATTGTTGAATGCCAGAAGAAAGAACAAATCTGTCACGGAAGAAGTACATCAGAATGCTCCTTGAAAGCAAGAATGGAGAGACTTCATCTCACATACTTTGGACATCTTGTCATAAGGGACCACGCTTGATAAAGAAGAGGATTAGCAAAAAAGGTGAAGACCCTCAATGAGAAGGATAGACACAGTGGCTGCAATAATAGGGTCAAATATAGGAAGATTTGAGGATTGTGCAGGAATGGGCAATGATTCATTCTGTTGTATATAGGGTCACTGTGATTCAGGACCTACCTGATGGCATCTAACAATAAAACAACATCAGTAACAACCTTGACGTGACTATCTTTTCAGACCTTGAAAGGCATGAAACCATTTTCACTGGCACATTTGGTGAATATTTTATTTGCGAGATCTCTCAACCCACGAAAAAAAGGTTAGAGTGAGGAGTGGGATAGTAAATTCATTTTAAATTCCACTTAGAAATTAAACAGTATATATATATATATCCACATTAGATCACAATGGATTCAACTTTTAGATATGGAATAAAAGCATTTTCTGGGTAAATGCTGGCAATGACCTTTACTTCCTATTAGTTTCAGAAATCATGAGAGAATCTTCCTTTCTTCAGGGATCGCACACTCAGGACCAGCGGACTTGATTGGATGATGAAATTTATTAATCTTTAGAATGGGAGGTAAGAATTTATTCTGACTTCCTGCTAAGCTATGAATGCTGCATTGACTCAAAGCTAAAGGAATTTATCTATGAACTAATCACCTGGTAAGTGAAAATCCAACCAATTTATAGGAAGTAAATATTGCTTCCAAAGAGGCTTTAATTAAATGTTATTATCTATACATACATATACATTTATATCTAAATAATATAAAGTAGATTTTTCTTTATAAATATGCTGATTTTTATCCTTTTTGAAATGTGTATTTTCTTCAACTTTTTGGCAGCACTTAAAATAATAAATTATGAATCATGTGAAATACATTTTTCCCTTGGTTGATGTCAAAATAAAGCATAATATTTTTGTATAATACCAGGAAATTCATTTTAAAAAAAGTAATGATAGTATTCTATGTCATTTATGTGGCTTATGAGAGGAAAACTAAAAGGAGTTGATAGAGGGATGAAGTGAGTAACTTATGTGTTATGTAAAGGAAAAGAGACAAGTATATAGAAAAAGTAGGCATAGAACAAAGGAATTAAGGAGTGAAATGAAATAGAAATTCATTACTCCTTTTCTCCTTTGCTACTCTTTGTGTGAGAGATAGAGTGGGTAATTAAGAGCATGAAAGGTTATGGGTTTAGAACACATTAATATCAGAAGATACTGGACACTAATGTGAAATAAATTTAATGAGCATGGGAGAAGATTTGTGAATTGTATGAGAAGAAAGGTTTACATCATTGGAGAATTGATGTGAGTAACAGGAAAAAACTTGGAAGCTGTTGGGAAAAATGAATCTTTGCTTTGATTTTTTGGACAAAAAAACATGGGTTGCAGAAGGAACTAACCTAAAATTCCTTGAATTATTCCAAGAAAAGAACTGTCACAGCCAGTTGGGCTTCAAATGCTATCATCTATTTTTATTGCTCTGCATAATATTAACATGCATTAAGCTTGTCATAGTTAACATGAGTCAAATGATAATTACCTTGGATATCTCAATATTACAGATAAACAATATTTTAATGAACTTTAAAAAAGTAAAAAAATGCACAATAAGTGGAATATCAAAATTTAAATAAAGACTGCATCTTAACCTACACTCGCACACTTTATCCTTGTTGTCTTTCAACTTATCAAAGGACAACTTATTCCAGGAAAAGAAATGCATCTGCTCTGAGCTCATTTTACATCTCATACCTGAGGTGACTCTGCATTTTAATTTATGCCTTGAACTACTGCAACTGATACTATCATTCTTGTTTGCTCTCAAAAATATCCTGATTAGAATGGTAAGTTATATGGTAAGCCTGCTGATACAAAGTTTAGAATTAATGACTTTAAATGTAGTAGAAGATAACTGATGGAATAACTCAATTTCTTTCTACAATACTCACTCTGATTGACACCACGCTTAATCAAAATTCCTGATGCTGACCTGTCCCTTTTTTTTCAGGTCCACCTTTCGAACATTGACTGCATTAGATCATGGAAAATATCAATAATGTCACTGAATTTATTCTGTTGGGACTTTCACAGAATAAGAAAATTAAAAATTTTTGCTTTTTATTATTCTTATTTTGTTACATAGCTATTTGGTTAGGAAATGTTCTCATCGTTATTTCCATCACCTATAGTCAGCTAATTGAGCAACCCATGTATTTTTTTCTTAATTATCTTGCTCTCTCAGACCTGTGTTATACCTCAACAGTGACTCCCAAGCTAGTCACTGACTTACTGGAGGAAAGGAACACAATTTCTTATAATAGCTGTATGGCACAGCTTTTTGCTATGCACTTCTTTGGGGGGATTGAAGTCCTCATCCTCACAGTAATGGCTTATGATCGATACGTGGCCATCTGCAAGCCCTTGCACTACACCGTCATGATGAGCAGGAGAAAGTGTGATGCCATGGTCTTTGCTTGCTGCATTGGGGCATTTCTGCATTCCTTCGTCCAATGTCTTCTTACTATCAACCTCCCTTTCTGTGGCCCCAATGAGATAGATCATTACTTCTGCGACGTGTATCCTTTGCTGAAACTGGCCTGCACTGACACGTACAGAGTTGGGATCCTGGTTGTTGCCAATTCGGGCATGATGGGTTTGGTGACTTTTGTGGTCCTGGTGCTGTCTTACATTTTGATACTATACACCATCAGGAATCACCCAGCCAAAAGCCGCAGCAAAGCTCTGTCCACTTGCAGTTCCCACATAACAGTTGTGATTCTATTCTTTGTGCCCGTCCTGTTCATTTATATCAGACCAGCCACCACTTTGCCAGAAGATAAAGTGTTTGCTCTTTTCTACACCATCATTGCCCCCATGTTCAACCCTCTGATCTACACCCTGAGAAACATGGAGATGAAGAATGCCTTAAGGAAAGTGTGGTGCTAGAATCCATTTTAACTTTAAGACAATTGATCTAATTGATCAATTGATTAATCTCAGTATCCACCCTATTAAAGTGAGTTTGCCTCTGTTAAGCTTATTAAAGGATGTAAGAAAAATAAGCAATGCCACTGCCCTCACTTCATTAGTATTACTTACTTTGAACTACTTTCTTCTTTTTTTGTTAATCTATGTTTCCTATTTACAGTACCCATGGTACCATGAGGAGCTCTGGTAGTGTAGTGCCTAAGGCACTTGACTGCTAACCAGAAGGATGGCGGTTCAAACCCACCAGCTACTCCTTGGAGGAAAGTTTGGGCAATCTGCTTCCATATTGATATTGCCTTGGAAACCCAAGGAGGGGTTGCTATGAGTCGAGTCGGACTTGATGGCACATAACAACAACAATGCTACTATGAGTCATTATTTCCTTGTTTCCTTGTTCAACTGCTACATTTTTCTTTGATATTTTTTTTTCTTTGTGCTTTATCTATAGGTTTCTAAGCAAAGCTCAGACTTCTAACCTTTCAGTTTTTGTTCCAATAAACAAATCCGAATTTACATAGCATCTCAGATTTAAAGAGCCCATATGGCTTATTGGCAAGTGGTTGTGTTCAGCTGCTGATCAAAATGTTCATTAAATCCACAATCACTCCATGGGATAGAGATGTGGCTCTGCTTCCTTAAAGACTACATCTTTGAAAACCCTATGGAAGCACTGCTGCTCTGTCCTATGAGTCCCTTCAAGATGGAATTAACTTGATGGCAATGGGATTGGTTTTAGCTATATGGCCTATTACTCTCTCTGTATTCTCCATGAAAAAATGAGTACCAGAAACTTAGAACCATTTTTGCCACTTGGCCCATGTTTTTCCATATTCACTGCAAAAATGCTCCCTCCCTGCAAAAAAAAAAAACTAATTAGAGTCTAAACAATAAAATACAATTTATGTAAAAAATAATAACTCTATAGAAAACTTGAAAGTGTTTTTCTGAAATAATTGTGATAATAAAATAAGTTTTGTGCTTAGAAAAGAAACTGCTTAAAAATGCTTTATAGGTATTATTATTTATATCTGTAAATTAATTTTTATAAAATGATATTTAAATATTTAAACAAATATTTTATTTGCAGTTACTTTATACCTTAAAATACTATTTTCATAATATAAAAATTCTAAGAATAAAAGCTGTGCAAATCATGTTCATACATGTTTCAGTAATATTGCAGATTAGCGTTAAATAATACCATCAGAACCAGGTATTTGTAAAAATCCTTAATCTCCTAATGAAAAGCTACCTAAACTTTAATTTTGAAATGATGATCTAAGTATTTACCTTATTTTTCTGATGAGTAAACTGTAACTAAAAGGATTTAAACTTGTCTTAACATTAAACTGAATATTAGTGAAGCATTTAATTTGTTAAATAAAGAAAAACAAACAAACAACCCCAAAAAGTCTGTTATATCTCTTTATGAGAGAATATAACTGACAGATCCCCATTACAACATGTTTTCCATAGATTTTATCACATATTATTTTACAGTTTTTAAACATGAATTTAGATTATAAGTGGAAAATATTTTACTTAACAATTTAATTGCCTTAAGCACTATGCTCTTTTAAGATTTATCTATATAGGATGAAGTTGACAAGAACTTGAAATCTTAGCTAGGAAATTTAGGGTGCAGTGAGTTTATGCTAATGGCAGAGGATAGACTGTAAAGGAAGTCGAGAATAGTGGCCCAACTCATAATGAATCAATGTCGCTGAATTGTACCTGTAAAAAATTGCTGAATTAGCAAATGTTCTTCTGTGCGTATTTCAACTACAACACAAATATCATAAATTATGTTAAAAAAAGTTACCAAAAAATATCATTAATTTTGATGAGATTGTTTCCTTTCCTTTTGTGACAAAACCAGTGTGCTTTTCTCATTGACTTTATCTATTGAATGTCAAAGTACAAAGGAGTAGCACCTATGATATATCAGGAAGGACAGTGGAATTGTTTCATAGACATAAAGAACTTGGGAGAAATAAGTATACATCTTGGGGAAAATGACAAGCAGAAGAGACAAAGGAAAATGATTTAAATGGTATGAGGAGTAATGCCCTGTCCAACACTCCAACGCAGTATGTATAATTCCAGGGTATGATATGAGGTCTTTGTTTATTCTTTCCCTTGGGAGTTTCAGCTCTCAGGCATCTGTAAGATTAACTATCTCACGGTCTGGATAGTTGAATCACATCTTTGTCATTTACTATTTTTGTGACCTTGGATAATTTTAACCATGTTCAATTTTCATCTTATATATATAATATGTGACTTTATTACAACAACATTTCTATAAGATTAAATTCACTCACATTGAAAAGTAGACAGATCTGTGAAATGGGCACATGTTTCTAGGTCCTGGGATCATATAGAGAGATCCTAGGGGACAGGGGATTCAGTGGCATGTTAATTTGGGAGACTTGAATGATTTGTATTGCCATCTATTCAATATTTTGAGGTATTTTTGTTTCCTATAAAATTATGGACAGGTTAATATCATGGAATCATGATAAGTTAGTTTGAGATAGAAGGCTTCAAAATAGATTTTTAAATGTATAAAGGGGTATTTTTCCATCCAGCCATTTTCAAAATCACCAAGAGAGTCATTAGAAAAAAAAAAAAAAAAAGACATTTTAATATGGAATATGTGGGTCTGATTTGCCTATTACTAACATAAGTTTTGAGGAGCTCTGGTAGCATAGTGGCTAAGGCACTTGACTACTAACCAGAGGGCTGGCGGTTCAAACCCACCAGCCACTCCTCGGAAGGAAGGTTGGGCAATCCTACTTCCGTAGTGATACTGCCTCGGAAACCCAAGGAGGGGTCGCTATGAGTCAGGGCTGACTCGACAGCACATAACAACAACAACAACAACAACAACATAAGTTTTTAACTGTATTTTTTAAATATTAGTTTTCTTGTAAGAACTGACTGTATGAATAACAAGCTTATCACATACATAGATTCTGTTGTAAAATTTGAAAAATAATATGCAAATAAACCTAAATTACTGCAAAGCATTAAGCCAGTACTGATTCTTGGGTGCCTAGGCTGGCTTATTTGGCCATTGTCCAATTGCACCATGGTAGAAGCCTTTTATGCCCGGTCATAGCTGTATGAAGCAAACATGCATTAAAGTAGAAAAATAAGTGAGAAGGAATAAGTGTCAATGAAGTTATGGTGTTTAATGTGTCACTAAGATGTGACATGATTGCAATAAGGTATGAAAACCAGAGTTATGTGGTAAGATACTCATAAATTAATTAAATAAATATTCAGTTTCTAATTTATGCTATAAACTTTGCTTGTTACTAAGAAAAGAGAAGTGAAATGAATGTGACATGCCCCTTACTCCCAAGAAACCCATAATCTAGTAAAGAATAAAAAAGAAACCAAGTCAGGAAAGGAGTTGAAAGAAGATTCCCACTAATGGCAAGTTACTGGATTTCCATGGTCTGGTTCCTATTCTCATTTGTAGAAGGAAAGCAAAGAGAGGAGTTCTCATGACAAGATATTCACTTGCATCTCATTTTGTGAATCAAATGCCCTTCACGTCATTTGCTTCTCTTGCCACAAATATTTGATTGCACCACACTTTCTTTATGGCATTTTTCATCTCCATGTTTCTAAGTGTGTAGATAAGAGGGTTGAGCATGGGGACAATAATTGTGTAAAAAAGTGTAAACACTTTGTCTTCTGGTAAAGTTGTTGCAGGTCTAAAGTAAATAAAGATGACAGGTACAAAAAACAGAATCACAACTGTGATGTGGGAACTGCAAGTGGAAAGTGCTTTGCGACGGCTCTCTACAGAGTATGCTCTCAACGTATACATTATCATAATGTAAGAGGCCATCAAAACCACAAAGATCACCAATCCCATCATACCAGAATTAGCAATGACTAAGAAACCAATTTTGTCTGTATTAGTGCAGGCCAGTTTCAACAAAGGATAGACATCACAGAAATAGTGATCTATTTCATTGGGGCCACAGAATGGTAAAAAAATTGCAAGGAGAAATAGGCCAAGGGAATGCACAAGGCCCCCTGCACACGACGCTATGAGAATTGTGTTGCATCTGTGCCTGTTCATGATGATGGCGTAGTGCAGTGGTTTGCAGATGGCGATGTACCGGTCGTAGGCCATTCCTGTGAGGATGAAGACCTCAATACCTCCAAAGAAGTGTGTGGTAAAAAGTTGTGTCATGCAGTTGTTATAGGAAATTGTTTTTCTTTCTGTCAGTAAATCGGACATTAGTTTGGGTGTCACCGTGGAGGTGTAGAAAAGGTCTGAGAGAGCAAGGTAACTAAGGAAGAAGTACATGGGTTGGTTACTTAGCTGGCTGCATGTGATAGAAATCATGATAACCAAGTTTCCCAAGCATATAGCAATGTAACATAGGAAGAAAAATAAAAAGCAGAGCATCTGGATTTCCTTGTTCTGAGAAAGTCCCAGAAGAATAAACTCAGTAACATTATTCCTAATTTCCATGGCTTGATTCAATTATGGACAGCCCTAGAAAGTTACCTGAAATGACAAAATTAATGAGGGAAATCATTAATAAGAAAAAAAAGAAAACTATTATCTAATTAAAATTACATAAATGGCATTTTTGTAGTCTCAAATTATCCTGAAGATTATAGAAATAACTTACACAGTCAAGAAAATTATTTTGAACTCCTAGTGGCACTAATATTCTGAGAAATGAGGATACAGTGATAGATTAGACACCACTTTGTGTAATTTGAATTTTTTCATGAGAAAGTAAAGTTATTTTGATAAAGAATTAATTAACAAGATAATTGTCAGTATGTTAAATACAGTGACAATTTTACGTATGATCTGGAGAATTTTGAGAGTGAAATAGAGCACTATTAATAATTACACTGTGGTTATAGGCACAAAATAGAAATTTCCAGGGAGAGTCAAGATGTGTTCCACAGTAATGATGAGTTACACAACCTCTGTGATTCTCATGAAAAACTTTATGTTCCACACAAGATTATCTTTGTAACTAATTAGAAAAATGTGTAGGAAATAATTTCATAATCCTTGAAGAAATACTTGAATATTGCAATTACCCAATTATTTAGGTTTGTAAGACAAGTCCTTAGTATAGTACCAGAATATTGTAATGTCAGCTTCTAGGAAAAAAAACAAATAACAGTAAGTAGCATCTTACTTAGAAGGCATTGCACATTTCTAAATATATTAACTATTACATGGTCAGTTCCTCTCGCTACATATGTATTACTTTGCCCATTTTCAGATGAGGAAAGGAAAACATTTAGTGCTGAAACAATGGGCACTGATTTTACAAATCTAGTAAACACCCAATATTGTTGCCACACACTGTCAAGGAATTTCTGACTCGGTGATCTTGTGAACAACAGAATGAAACACAGCCTAGTCCCTGAACATCCTTGCAATTGTTACTGGGTTTGAATCCATTTTTGCAGCCACTGTGTCTATCCATCTCTTTGAGAATCTTCATCTTTTTTGCTTACCCTCTACTTTACCAAGTATGCTATCCCCCCTAGGGACTGGTCCCTCCCATTAACCTGTCCAAAGCACATGAAATGAAGTCTCACCATCCTCACTCCGAATGAGCATTCTGGCTGTACTTCTTCCAAGACAAATGACTTTCTTCTTCTTCTTCCAGTCCGTGGTATATTTAATATACTTTGCCAACACCATGATTCAAATGAATCTACTCTTTGGTCTTCCTTTTTCATTGTCCAGCTTTTGCATCCATATGAGGATTTTGAAAATATCATGTCTTAGGTCAGTTATCTTTGTGACATGCTTGCCTTTTAACACTTTAAAATGTTAATGATGGGATATTAATTGAAATGTTTCCACAAATAAATCCAATTCTGGAAGCATTCAATCATCAATCCCAAGAAAGATCAAAGACAGCTACCAACTTCAAGAGATCTATGTCCATGTTCATTCCAAAGAACAGTGATCCAGTGCAGTGTGGAGATTTTTGAACAATCATAAGCAGCCAGTAGTGTTTTTTAACCCATGTAGACTAGTTCTGGTTTGTGATCTAAAGTACTATAAATGTTGTTACTCTCTGGAAATAGGGAGATTGTCAAAGTATGTCATTTCCATGATTTATCATAGAACTGCTGAGGAAATATATGCCCAGTAAGTATTTGTAGCACCCATGCCAAGGATCAAACCAGAAGAAATAATTTTACATAAAAAAGGGGATTTGAGCTGCTGAATACTAACATATGTTGTATAGGTAGATAGAAGGGTAAACTAATTTTAATTTCAAAAGAAAAATAAAGAAAAAGTGCTTCAGCATAGAGCATAATATGCAGTTTTTCCACCCAAGATTAAGGACTTCTCCACATTGACTACTCAAGTCACCAGCAGCCAGCCTTAATTCTTCTCAGTTGTCCTAGTATGCATACTGCCATACACTTACATGCAAAATCAGTTAGCCCCTAAATTTAGAGGCATGACCCACATAAAGTAGAGAACTCTTATGCCTACTTTATAGACTGATCTGACTTACAGATCTTCATTAATTGGAAAATTGACTGGACAATTGAGGATCAACAGCATTTTTAGAAATCCTAAGTTTACAATAGAATGATAAAAGCAAACAAAACCAACTGACCATGGATGAAAGAAAAACTAATAAATCTTCTTTACAACTTTCTTCAAAAAGAATCCAGAAGGTATGCATAAAGGGAGTTTTTTTTTTTCCCCACCACATGTTTCAATGCAGAGGAATGTTCAAGTGATCCTGGCATTTCTCTACCGTTGTACACACTGCTTTGGGAATTTTGAAGGTATTTATTGATTGATTACTCTTGGAAAAAGACCTAGACATGCCAGGCATCTTTCCCTCAACTCTCATTCTGTCTCTGGTGGTATAAAATGAAATAATCATAGGACTTATCTGACTGTGTTCTTCCTAATGAGATTGCAAACATAAGTGACCATTTAAACATGAAACGTGAAAACCAGAAAAATTGCCATGGAGTTGTTTCTGACTCATAGTGATCTCAGGTGTGTCATAGAAGATTGTGTTCCATAGTTTTTCAATGATGTTTTAGAAGTAGATCACAGGGCCCTCTGCATGGCCTCAAACAATGAACCTTTCACCAACCTTTTGAACAGCAGTGTATACATTAAACAATTTTACCAACTTAGCACTCTGTCCTACGGTTAATGTTAAATAGACATCAACTAAGGAAAGAAGTAGGAATTAAAAAAAAAAAATGTACTGCAATTTCGAAGACATAATACAATATTAAAAATAACCTATCATTATTGGTCAAGTAATTCAGGATTAAAGAGAACAGATTATTTTTCTTAATTCATTTAATTCATTCTCTCTGGGTTGCTAAGAGAATATGTTTTCCATAACACATGTATTATTTTTTCAAAATAATTTTTATAGTTGTTTATTTTATAACTAAAATTCTGATTTTTTTTTTTATTCCTGTTGGAGATTTATAGTAAAACAAGCTTTAGTTAGTTTTTAAATGTTCTCAGTTCAACATTTTTTTAAATTAAAACACATGTTTAAACAACATTGATGTCTTTTGCCTTTTTATATTAAGCTAAATGTGCTCTACCTTAAGTGAATTTAAACTTTATGTGTGTTAAGAGATATGTGTTCCGAACACATTTTACTAGATTCTAATTTGGGAGTTTAAGTGTCAATGCTGCTTTTTTGTGAGAAATTTTTCTCTGAAGTTTAGCAGCTCTTCAGTTTCTGTTCAGTGTCTCTGTTAAACCCAAGTGACACTAATTTATATATTGAAATAAATTGTTGATAATGGTTATTTCCAGGTAGACTATGGTGAATTTAAATCATCATTTTATCCACTTATCTAATTTCTTAATGTTTATCATATTTTTTTATTGTCATAAATGTCTTTCTAAATATAACAGCCTATTTGTCCTTTAAATGCTGCCTACAGTATTTGAAAATTGTGACTACAAGAACCTAGAACCCAACTTAAGACTGAAAGTTCACACAGATGATTAATTACTTGTAAGTAAAAACTTAGGAGCTCTGGTCGCATAGTGGCTAAAGCACTTGACTGCTAACCAGAAGGCTGGCGGTTCAAACCCACCAGCCACTCCTCAGAAGGAAGGTTGGGCAATCCTACTTCCGTAGTGATACTGCCTCGGAAACCCAAGGAGAGGTCGCTATGAGTCGGGGCTGACTCAATGGCACATAACAACAACAACAACAAGTAAAAACTTATTATTGAGAATTAAAAACATATTATCAGGTGTATTTTAGTTAAAAGAGTGATGTGCTCTTCTTATACTATTCTGATATACTAAATAAAGAATATTTCAATTATCTGATTTAATAACATGAAAAGGTTTGCAATGTAAGAGAACAGATGGATAAGTGCTTAGAAAACTTATAATGAAATTTTTAATGCTGTTACATTACCCTGAGCATGAAGGGATAATATGATAATCAACATATTTTTTTTTACAAAGTACTCATTTTTTCTAGATATCTATACTTTTTAGAAAAAGTAAATTTTTAGAAAACTTACTTGAATAACACTATACAAAATAGTCAGATATAGTTGGCTAGATGGAAATACCTTATAAAGGAAAGTGGACCACTTTTCTCGTATTTAAGAAATGTTCCCTCCAGCACAATATAAAACAAATCATATGGTGTGCTTTGCTCAGCCACCTTTCTCCTTTAACTTATGCAATTTACCCATACAAACTGCAGGATTCCATCACAAAATTTAATCTGTTCATATTCTCTCAAATAGAAACTATCGGAGAAAACACAGGCAGAATGCTCCTTAGAAGTGAGAATGGTGACACTTCATCTCACGTACTTGGGACATGCTATCAGGAGAGACCAATCCTTGGAGAAAGACATCATGCCAGATAAACTGGAACATAAGAAAAAGAGAAAGACCCTCCACAAGATGAAGGAACATAATTGCCACAACAATGGGTTCAAACATCGGAATGATTATGAGGATGGTGTGAGACTAGGCAGTGTTCTGTTCACTTGTGCGTAGGCTCACTGAACCGGAATGATTGTGAGGATGATGTGAGACTTGTTGTTGTTGTTATGTGCCGTCGAGTCGGCCCCCACTCATAGCGACCCCTCCTTGGGTTTGCGAGGTAGTATCACTAGGCGGTGTTTTGTTCACTTGTGCGTAGGCTCACTGAGTCAGAACAAAATTAATGCCATCTACCAACTTATTTCCAAGTAACCATCTGATAAAAGCACTGTATCAGTATCCAACAGAATTAATTTTCCTTCCTCTCTGACAGTTACTATCCATGGAATGAAAGAGTTGCATTGGATAATCTCAAAAGAGATCCCCATGTTCTGATGGTGTGTGACTCCTGTTTCTGTTAGTTTGTGGAAAATACCATATTTAAATGTATGTCAGCCTTCCCCATACTTTATCTGCTCCACTGGATAAATTGGAACTTGAGAAACATAAAGTATTTTGAAGCTCATTAATGTCTCTGTACTTCAGTTTTCTCCGTAAAACAGAGGTAACAGTGGCACCTCTTTCTAGGTTTATGTTGTTGTAGTTGTTGTGTGCCATCAAGTCAGCCTGACTCATAGCAACCCCTCTTTGGGTTTCCGAGGCAGTATCACTACAGAAGTAGATTGCTCCACCTTCCTTCTGAGGAGTGGCTGATGGGTTTGAACCGCCAGCCTTCTGGTTAGCAGTCAAGTGCCTTAGGCAGTATGCTACCAGAGCTCCTTTCTAGAGTTATAGATTGCATTAAAATTAGCTAATAAATGTGAAGTTATTGAAACAATGCCTAAAAGATAATAGACCATCAATAATTGTTAACCTCCCTCTACCGTTCCTAAATTTAAGATCCCTTCATCATCATCATCTTCATCATCATCATCACAATCATCATCTTCAAAGTAACAACAAAAACATTTGTGCTTGCAATCATACTCTGGAAAGCAAGCTATTTTTGTTTTATCCTGTGAACAAAATTCTCTATTTTATGTCTGTTATCTACAGGAGAAATATAATAGTATTTAAATAGTTTTAAAATATCAGTAGGCTCCCAAGCATAGGAACCAATTTATCTCTTACTGCCCTTCACGTGAAGTGTCATCTCCCAGCTGCATGACTGGTCCAACACTCCCACTCATGTGCTGCACACTCACCACTCTTCACTTCAGTTAACTTCCCCATATGGGAATGTGATCCTTTTTGCTTTGTCCCAC